TACGCACCATTTTTTCGATTGTGTGTTAAAGAGATGACATCATCGATGCCTCTTCTTCCCATGTGTGAGAGTGTGTGGAATTGTTACTCAAGAACCGTTCCCGCCTCGCTGAGGACGGACGGTGTTTCTGTTATTAAGTTTAGCCGACATTTTAAAATGTCTGGTGGCAGAGGGTGGATGCGGAAAGTGGGGGGGGGGGGGAGACCAACAGCTTAGAGTCGGGAAGCTTCCTTTCACATTTGCTTGATGAATGATTTAAGACTGTCATGCCGTAAAGAACAAGTTGTCTCCTCGTAGATATATTTAAGCAACTTAAGATATTTAATTTGGTTATTCACAAAATAAATAAACAATAAACTTAAGACGCCAGACAACATGTGGAAGACAGGTTTTCTTTCAAAGTGAACGAATATTTTCTCAAGGGCAAGCGTTTCGAAAGAAATTATTATTTCCTTTTTTAAGCCTTAGACATTCTTGAGCAATATTTACGTGGTTGGATGGCGAGTAATAATCTCAGGAAAGCTTCAAAGTTGATACAATGACTTGGGCCTACGTTTAGGAAAAGTGGGCTAGTACTGTTCGGGTTACAACCAAAATGTTAAATTTATATACACACCCTAATGTAATGAGGATTGTAGCCTTTACAGTGAAATTTGCAGCAAATTCGGAAAAAAGTGCACAATTTGTCAACAATAAAGAAAATGTTTGTTTATGAACGAAAATTTGATGATGATATTTTTAATGTATAGGAACTATAATTCTTTTTCGTAGACTCAGAATTAAATTAGATCCGGAGTATATATTTTCCTTTGAAATAGATGGAGTGTTTTTATATATGATCAAGTCTATATAAAATGTTTTTCCGATCCAAAACTCTAATAAGAGTTTCATCAATAATCCGAAAACTATTAAATCCACTTGGAATTTCCCACAACTCAGATATTTCTGTGCAACAGTAAAATTTAAAGAAAACTTGAAGCAAATTAGGAATTAAAATAAGAAAATTATAAGCACGTAAGCAAAGGCTAGAGTCGTGCGGGGCCGACCATGTGATACCCTACAACACTACAATATTTTAAGGGCCCCCATTATATCCAAATCCATTTTATAACATTTCGCTTTTGAAATTATGTCATAGAACACTGCCCAGATATTACCCTTAGCTTTTTGACCAGGGACATTTGCCCAATACTTATGCACTCCGCCTTGCTGTTAGTTGTTGTGGTCCATTTTTACAGCTAAATATGTATAATTCAATGGTCATCCAAAATGCTAGAATTCTTCACTGTCCTTTACTCTCTTCTCATGCAAACTCCGTGGCGATTGGTGTAAATATATAATGTGATCAAGAAAATATTTTTGTTTTTGGTTCACTTGAATCCCTAAATATTTTGCAATCTTCTCCAAAAGCAAGAGGCCCCTCTGTATCTCCAAATTTAGACTCATATATTTTATATTCGACAAAGAAATTTTCAGTGTTTGGGTAGAATGGAAATGTTGCCATATTTTTTCACTCAAAAGTAGTGGTCTGTATAAACTCTAACTTCATGCGAGATTTCCTGTCCATTTGTTTCTATTTGGAACTTTATAATGGCTGTAAGATCAGGAACATTTTTAGTTGTTGGCCCATTTCAACCCCCCAAATACAGGGTAAGATGAAAAAACAACAACCATCTGAAGTCTGCAATCATTTCTAAGCCACTAGTTCGACGGCTCTTAAAATTATTCCAGTGACATAATATATATACAAAAGCATTTTGGTGAGAATTTTCCCGAAAAAAATATTCGTGATTGAATTCAAGCGTGATAGTGAGATTTCTTTATATTGGCTGGAAAAACACAAGTGGCTATCGTTAGAGCTCTCCAGCTTTTAAATGTGAATAAATCTTTTGTGTCTCGTACCACCGCTCGTTACCGTGATGCTGGTAGCGTAGGCTGACGTCAAGGAATTGGACGGAAGAAAGCAGCAGATATGGTTCGAAAAGTAAAGAAGCTACTTGATTGAAACCCGCGTCGCAGTGGCCGAAAAATGGCCCGTGAGCTGAACATATTGCAATATTCCATTCGGCAAATATTGAAAATTGAGCTCGGGGTAAAACCATTGAACTTCCAAAAATTGCAATAACTTACACCGCAACAGAAAGAAATAGACTCAAAAGAGGTACAGAGTTGCTTCGCTTGGCCGAAAGTGGTGAACTGACGAATTTGGTTTGTAAACAAACAAAATTATCGTGTTTACTTGCCAAAGAGGTCAGCGGAATATGTGCACCTTCGGTTCGCCACCAGAACTCAAGCGCCGGCCATGGTGATGGTGGGGACCGCCATAACAGCCGGTGGTCGCTCTCCGCTCGTATTAATCGGCTGAATATTATCGCGAATATATTCTGCCCACCAGCAGAGACCTCAATTACAAGATTTTAAATTTCCAGACCAAAACCAAATTGTACCGAATTTAGTGCAGTTGCAACACGTAGTGCACATTTCCAAAAAATACATATTTTTATCAAAACCACCCCTCGAACTTTATTTTTATTTCCCCCTTCAGGATTTTAGCTGTATCTGTTCTCAAAATACCAAAAGGTACGCAATTTATAGTTTTTGAGATTTTATTACCATTTTAGCTGTTTAGGATCGTTTTAGATCTTTTCGTGTCCTTAAATTTCGAATTTTTAAAATTCCTTCGGTACATCTATCCTGCACTCCATCAGTGACTCTCTTTCCAAATTTCAGAATTCTAGCTCATTTCGTGTGTCCAAGGCAAGTTAATTATTTTATTATACCCTCAGCCATATGGCTACAGAGGGTCTCTTTCATTTGATACAATAAAAACGTGCTTAGTCGAAATAATGGTTTTAGATCCTAGGTCTCTTTGGACCAAATCCGTTTCAGGACATTTGGAGCTGATCTAGCGATTGCCATCCGTCCGTCTGGCTGGCACGAGTATCCTATTTGATCCAAACTTGGTATATCGTAATATTTTTGTCAAACTTAGATCGGGTTCGGATATTGGTCCACTCCTTCTGGTACCTCCCCCACAAAATGTCGAAAATATATTTTCTGCACAGAAAGGGAAACGATAATCCGATTTTGCTCCAAATTTGCAAATCCTAATATTTACATCAGTTCTAGGTCAGGTGCGAAAATGGACAATATCGGTCCACTCCATCAAGTACCTCCCCCACAAATTGTCAAAATTTCGAATAATTACAACTCTTATAAACCGTGATGTAAGAGTCCGATAGTCTTCAAACTTCATACATTCCAATATTTTTATTAAACCAAGGTCTGATGTGAAGATGGGATATATCAGTCCACTCCCTCTGGTACCTCCCCCACAAAAAGGTCGAAATTTTAAAACAAAAAATATTTTACTGCGCAGAGAGAGAATAGATAATCCGATTTTGATCCAACTTTGTGAATCCTAATATTTGCATCAGTGCTAGTTCTGGTGCAAAAATGGACAATATTGGTTCCTGCAGCCTGGCTTTCATGTAAAGTTTGTTGATATAGTAGAGTTTTAAGACATAAAGTTTTGTATAGTTTAAACGGAGTTTTAACCATATTTTAAAAAATTACCAAAAGGACCGCTTATCGCAATATTATTGAAGTCACTTAACACCTTAAATGTAAGGATCCCAAGGTATCTTGACGCGAATATTTCAGAAAACGTTCTTTACCCAAAGGTGGAGGGCATTAAGAAATTCGGCTTGGCCGAACTTAATGCTTTTGACTTGTTGACTCTAAATTCTACTAAGATTTTCTGTATTTATTTAAAAACAAGTAAGTAAAGGCTATAGTCGTGCGGGCCGATTATGTGATACAGTCAATGCATTTAGTCTAGTCTTTACCATTTAGGTCTTTGCTACAGTAAGTTGGAAGCCTCTTATGTCCAAATCCATTTTGGAAGATTTCGTTTTTGAAATAATGTCACAGATCCCTGTCCAAATGTTACAGTTATTGGTCATCCAAAATGCTAGACTTCTTCCCTGCCTTAATTCCCTCGAGATGTGACCTGTATGGCGACTGCAAAGTCAAAAAAAAATAATTTTTGGTCCATTAGTACCCCTAAATGCACATTTTCAAACAATAGGCTTGAATTCTGACCCTAACACCACCCATTGTAAAATTTCGTGTGGATAGGACGATAATTGCGACCTGTATATAATACCCTCAACACATAGTGGTGTGGGTGTAAAAAAATTACCAAAATATACAATTCAAAATTGTTACTCATATTGAAAGAATCGCATGCGATAAAAAATATGACAGAAATAGAAAAAATGTAACGAAAAAATTACTTTTTTATTGGATTTCTCTTAGAATTTAGCCTTTGCTTGCAAGAGACCATTCCGATTTGCTGAGAATTGAATAAGATCTATTCCTTTTACATATATATTGTATTTATTTTGTTATATATCTGATATCTTGTTTATCAGCATCAATTTAATGGTCAGAAGTGATCTTTAAATGTATTTGTGATTTGGGCAGGATTAAAAATATTCGCGGTTAAGTGGAAATTTTTGTATTTTTTTTACATAAAAGTTATGGCTTATTTTACCCGCTAAATATTGTCCGATGACCATCCAAATTGGTATGCTTCTGCCCTGCCCTGAACTCTAACTTCTTGCGAAATTCCGATTGATTTATAATTGTGGCCGCTAGAGTAACAGCAAAATCAGGAAATTTTTCTATTTTGGTTCACTTCAACCCGTAAATATTTTGCGTTCATCTTCAAAAACAATAGTATTTTATTCTGACTTTAACCCCATTATCAATTCGTGAGAATCGGCAAATAATTGCGACCTGTAGCGTGATTACAAATGAACATGCACAGACGGACGGACGGATCGGAGAGATAGGAAGACCTATATATGATTTCTTACATCGAGGACCACTATTTCGAGTTGTTACATAATTTTTGGCCCAATCAAACTTATAACACATAGTATTGAAGGGTATAAACATGATGTTGAACAGAGTGTTATATTTTTGTAGTCGTTTTATTTATTTATTTAAACGAATCAATAAAGTTTACATTTATCTTGTGGATTCATAATACTTCCTTTGCGGCACTGGAACACCTGGGAAAATTCTTCAAGATTCGATAGAGAGGCTGTGACACGGATACTTTCCGGTGGACAATACTCTTCATCCAATACAATAGGAAAATAATCAGGATGAATATTTGAACACAATGTTTGAGCGTAGGATATAAAGAATAGTTTCTTATTTTTATATTTCAAATCTGGCAGCTGTTCTTGATCCAAATTATTTTGCGGGCGAAATGTATATTCATACCATGTCTTGTAGGTTTGATAGGCCAAACGTATGCCACCATTGTCGGCTATGTTTTCCGATTGGACAACACTGTCGGGCCAGGGGTGACCAGCAAAGGAATATTGCCGGTATTGTTGGCGAAAACAATCGGTGCGATCGTTGAAAAATACCGTTGAACGATGGTCCCACCAATCGACTTCATTGCCATATTTATCGGCATAACGCGCCTCATCATCGAAGGCATGAACAATGGCATGGGCTATGTGGAAACCCAATTGGCCAAAATTCACCGCCAAGGGATATAGGGTGGATCGAAATAGATGGGGTTGTAAAACTGCCAAGGGTATGAGAATACGGTTTTCACGGCGTATGTATTTCGGACCCAGCGGCATGTTTTCTGAGTCATAATATGGCGAGGATAGCTGATTGAATTTCCCACGATTTCTAGCAGTTTTGTGGGAGTAAATTCTTTTTAAGTTTCCAATAAAGTCGTTGGGTTCCAGTATTAGATCTCCATACTCTTCGGTAAAGTTAACATTTTTATAATTGTAAATATTTATGGCCAGCACATTTAATTTTTCTGTGGAATAACGACGGACTCGAGGATTTATCCATTTATATGCCTTGGATATGAGAGTACGATTAAACACCGACAATAGGTCCTCAAACATATTAGAAACCGATTTCTCAATTTCTTGTAAATTATTGCGTCTATACCACATATTTTCCAATAGATTACGAAAGTGTTTTCGGGTTTCTGTAATGCAAGATGATTTCATAGATCCAAAGTGATTTATGAGATTATAAAATATATAATTCGCCACGATCTTCTTGGGTGTAGATTTTATGACCTCAATCATGTTATGTTGATATGCCTCATTTTGTTCGATAATAATTTCATCTGGTATTGTCTCAAATGCCAGATTAAAATATTGTTTCAAATCCAAATAAGGCATATATTTCCTTTGTAATTTACTGACCGTTGTTTCACTCCAATACTCATCTGGTCCATAGCGATTATGGGCTCCTCCCTTGGCTAGTTTAGATTCAAAATCCAAAATATCCTTGGCAGTTTGATTGGCAAGTTTGGCATCTAAGCCAAAATAGTCCTGTAAGTTTTCAGAGACCTTGATATGGTATTTTTTCCATAAATTTCCCAGAGCATAATTTCCATACAACGCCATAGGAAATTCAAACTTTTGATGTTTCAACACCAGGGTATTTATGGAAACATTTTTGGGATTTGATATAACTTCATAGCCAAATATAATGTTAATGCCATATCTATGAACAATTTTGGCAATTGCCTGCCACCAATCAAAATCATCTCCACTCCATCGTTCACCCTCAACTACAGGCATTTTTCCAAATTCCATTGTAATTTCTCTCAATCTGTTTCTATTATCCTCCCGCTTCCAATCACGATCACTTAGCAAACATGATTCATAGAAATCCACAACTTTGTTTTCATTGTCATTCAGCTCCTCTTTGTTGCATCCTTCCAACATTTCTCCTAATTTCACCTCAAATTCCTTATTAACATTTAAGAGGCGACTTTTTCTTGGTTCATTTTCATCGGCTTGATTTAATCGTTTCCAATTTCCACAGGCAAAATTATAAAAATCTCTGCATGGATCAATAGTTTCATCTATGATTTTTTTAATTTCTTCCGATTTTTCCAAACGAATTGATTTTTCCACATCATTAAAAGGCGATCCTTGTACTATATGCCCCGGTAAGAGGCCCCAAATGGAGATGCACCATAAAATATTTTGGAACTTTTTCCTTTCCATTATTTCCACATTTGTTTAAATATTTTTGTTTGTTTGTCTGTTTTTTCAATACCGCCGGCAATGTCACTAAAACAAAATCTAAACTATATATACTACTAACCCAAATTGTGCGCTGTTTCCAAAATCTCTCACAGGTCATGGGAGGTTATCATTTCATAGAAATACAGAATAAAAACAATGTGTCATTAGTTTATTTGTAAGTTTATATATAGACATATTTTCTAGAAGAAACAATGCTCTTAATAATGTTAAAGGTATATTACAATAGGGCTGAGCCAAGCTGCTGTGAACAATATTTTACGGTATTGATCTACACTTGATTAATATATATAACAAGTAAAAAGGCTGTAAATTCGGCCGGGCCGAACTTTGAATACCCTCCAGCATTTGGAAGGAATTTGGCAGTTTCCAAAAAAAATAAAATCCATTAAAAATTCGGTTAAAATCTTAAAAAGATCAAATGTAGCCGTCATGTTAGGGTCTAAACGACGTCGGGGATCTGCATAGGCAATTGTTGTCATAAGCAATTAAAATATTCAAATGCGAAACATGAAAAAAATGTAGCTATAATCATCAAAATACCGAATATCGGGAGGTACCGTTATATGGGGGCTATACGAAGACGTGGACCTGCACAGACAATCTCCTGTCATAGGCTGTAGTATCCATTACGAACTTCAAATACCAAATTTCAAACAATTCCGATGAATAATGTCGCTAAAATCATCAAAATACCGAATATCGGGAGGTACCCTTATATGGGGACTATACTAAGACATGGACCTGCACAGACAATTTTCTGTCATAGGTTGAAGTATTCATTACGAACCTTAAATACCAAATTTGAAACAATTCCGGAGGATAATGTCGCTAAAACCATCAAAATACCGAATATTGGGAGGTACTGTTATATCGGGGCTATACGAAGACGTAGACCTGCACAGACACTTTTCTGTCTTAGGCTGTAGTATCCATTACGAATTTCAAATACCAAATTTGAAACACTTCTGGTGAATAATGTAGCTAAAATTATCAAAATACCGAAAACAGGGAGGTGCCGTTATATGGGGGTTACACGAAGGCGTAAACCTGCACGGACAATTTTCTGTCATAGGCTGTAGTATCCATTACGAACTTGAAATACCAAATTTCAAACAATTCCGGTGAATAATGTAGCTAAAATCATCAAAATACCGAATATCGGGAGGTACCCTTATATGGGGACTATACGAAAACATGGACCTGCACAGACAATTTTCTGTCATAGGTTGTAGTATTCATTACGAACTTCAAATACCACATCTCAAACAATTCCGGTGAATAATTTCGCCGAAATCATCAAAATAAAGAATATTGGGAGGTACTGTTAGACACTACACTTCTCTGTCTAAGGCTGTAGTATCCATTACGAATTTCAAATACCAAAAGTAAAAAAATCAGGTGAATAATTTCGCTGAAATCATCAAAATACCGAATATTGGGAGGTATCGTTATATGGGGGCTATACTAAGGCCTGCACCGACAATTTTCCGTCAGACAATGCACAGACAATTTTCCGTCATAGGCTGTATTACTAACTTCAAATGTCAAATTTGAAACATTTCCGCTTAATAATGTCGCTTAAATCACCAAATCACTGAAAATAGGCAGGTACCATTATATGGAGGCTATACCAAAACGTGGACCCACATGGCCCATTTGCAATATCAAAAGTCCTGCAGACATAATATACATTTGGGTACAATTTTATCAACCTACTTCACTTCGTTCGAAGCTAGAGTGATTACCACAGACGGATAAACGCACAGACGGATGTCTCTAAATCGACGGATATGCCACAATAGAATTGTGGGGTACAAAATATATATGTCGTGGTGTTACAAACGGAATGACAAACTTAACATATCCTCCATACTATGATGGAGGGTATAATAATTGAATAACATTTTCATACTGGGCCGTTTGTTCGACTATATTGAAATACTTGCCAAAATTTAAAAATGACATGCCCTCGCCTGCTCACGCTTCCAATGTGGGATGAAATGCAATTTGTCATCAAACAAATATTTATTGAGACAACATCGATGGAGACTAGCTTAAACAATGCCATCCTTGCCAATTAACTACAAGTCCTTCAACTAATGCCAATTATAACAAAGTATCCTTAAAAACTCCCTAAAATGACAACAGCCAATGCAATAAATTCAATTTTTGGCGATAGCTCAATGCAGAAAACGCTAAATCAAAGGAGCACACAAAAACAAAAACGAGAAAGAGTTCAAAAAAAAAAACACATTTGTCAAATTCAACAGCGAGCGACATGTGAACAAATCCAAATTTCAAATGAACTATGAAACAAAGTTGTTGTAGCGAAATGAATGAATGAATGAAGTATGGATGGTGGGAATTGATTAAGACCAAATGAACGGGCGATGATGCTAAAAAATTGCTCCAACTACTCCACATCCCCTTGCCTACCTCCCCTCCCCCTCTGTGCACAATGCGTTTCACGGAAACATAGCTAAAACTATTGCAGTAAATCATTAGCGAAAGCGAACGAAATTCGAACTATGACAATGACATACGTTTTCTTAATTCCATACTTATTCCTTTGGCTGAGTTGACAACCTCTGGAAAAGGAAACGGAAGTATCTAGGAGGAGGACCGTAGAAAAGTTTGAGCTGTTTTTTTTGTCTTTGCTAAACGGTAACTGGGATTAGTTGTATTCATTTTGCTTCTTCTTTCGCTGAGAAAGAGTATCTCATTGGGCTAAGAGGAAACATTGTCGAAGTTTGTGCGTCTCTTGTATTCCTTTGGCCGGGGGGAAGGAAAAACAAATAAAACTTCTTCATTAATACTGATCGATGAGCATAAATCCTTTTGTTTACCAAGTGTTTTAGTTTTGTTAAAAGGAATCGATGGCTGAAAGGGAGAATAGATATGCCAATAATTTTTGTTAGTTTATTTTGCGTATGATTAAACAAATACAATAGAGTATCAGCTATTGAGGGGTTAAGTATGAAACAAAGGACAAGTGCCACGAGAAATTTGTAATGAATTTAGTCAAGTCTTAGAAATAATGACGTAGTTTGGGGGCACTGTAGTTTACAATGATTATAGAAAATTTCAATTTTATACAAAAGAAGTAAGCAAAGGCTATAGTCGTGCGGGGCCGACCATGTGATACCCTACAACACTACAATATGTTAGAAGCCCCCTTATGTCCAAATTCATTTTGGAAAATTTCGCTTTTGAAATGATGTCATAGAGCACTGCCCAGATTACACTTAGCTACCAATGGTTATCCAAAATGCTAGAATTCTTCCCTCTTCTTAACTCTCTTCAATTGTGTGAGCATGAAATTTTTTTTTGTTTTTGTTTCATTTGAACTCCTAAATATTTTGCGATCAACTCCAAAAGCAAGAGATCCCTCTGTATCACCAAATTTAAAGTCATCTATATGATTTGCTTGTCTACGATATTTGACTTTATTCATCAACGAAATCAGCATAGAAAAGCCAGAAGTTCGCCTTTTGTGAATTTCGGATATCGCCTGTAAGTAATGTTGGTATTTTTACACGCAAAGTAGTGGTCCATTCTACCCGCTGTCCTAAACTCTTACTTCATGCGAGATTCCATTTGGATTCCATTTGTTAACTTTATAACGGCTGCAAAATCAGGAACATTTTAGTTGTTGGTCCATTTCAATCCCTAAATATATTGCGGACATCTTTGAAAACCATAGGCCTAGCCATTCTGAGCCTAACCCTACCCTTTTTCTTGAGGATAATTGCAATCTGTATATAATAACCCCAACCTGTGTTGTAAAATGAAAAAATATTACAAAATGTACAATTCAATATTATAAGTCAAATTGAAAAAATCGCATGCGATAAAAAATATGAAAAAATAAAAAATTTCACAAAATACTACAAAATCTATATTAACATCATTATTGGCATATTTTTCTGCGATTTTGTTAGATTTTATACTTTGATGTCAAGTGGGCATTCTGAATTGACAAAATTTGTCGAAATCGGTCCAGCCATTCTTAAGATATAAGCATTCTAACAAACATCCCCTTCACACAAACATACACATTGCATATATATCGCTATATATAACCGATATATTTACTATCGGCATCTACGTAACGGTCAGAATTGACCTGTTCGTCTGTTTGAAATTTCGCCGGTATTAGGAATATTCGCGGTTTAATGGAAAATTTGAGTTTTATTTAACACAAATGTTGTGGCCTATTTCACCCACTAAATATTACCCGATGGAAGGCTTCTGTCCATCCCTAAGCTCTAGCCCCATGCTAACTTCCGTGTCGATTGGTCTATAATTGCGACCTGTAGAGCAACTTCAAAATCAGGAATTTTTCAGTTTTTGGTCAATATCAACCCCTAAATATTATGCAATCATCTCCAAAAGAAATATTCTGACCCTAGCCTATTCTAAATTTCGTGAAGATCGGGCCACAATTGCGACCTGTAGAGTGATTACAAATTAACATGGACAGACGGACGGACGGACGGACATACATAGCTAGATCGACTCAGCTCGGCGAGATAGGAAGATCCATATATACTTTCCTATGTGGGAAACCAATATTTCGAAGTGTTACATAATTTTTGGCCCAATCAAACTTATAATACCCCCAACACATAGTGTTGTAGGGTATAAATACAAGAAAATCGAACATTTATATCCAAATTTATGCGAAATCTTCCTTTCTTAGCGTTTTGTTTTTCAAAATATTGAGCTCTATGTGGGGAATGTTCCAGAAGAAATGGTCCGATTTCTACCATATTTAAACCAGATCTTCTATTGATGGAAATATTGAGATGTACCAAGTCTGAATGTTATCGCATGTTAATTTCGCGTCTTATGAGCTTCATGGATATTCGAGATTTTGAGCCTTTGTGATGGAGGTACCAAAAGCAGTGAACCGATATATCCCATCTTCACAACAAATCTTGTTGTGGTAGAAATAATGGGATGTGTGAAATATAAAGAGAAACTGAT